ACTTTATTCGTTTAAATCAAAGCCAAACCATTTCTTTTTATTAAAACAAAGCCAGGCCCATGTTCTCTTAAAAAATTTGTACAAAGCCCACTTTTCCTATATCACACCTTCTTCGAAACCAGCAGGCCTTAAAAAAAGGCCTTGCTGTTGGTTCGATATCAGTGAGCGTGAGGAAAAAATCAAGGTTGTTGTTGGGTTTGATTCTTCACATAGTGGACCTTCTTCAAAATCTAGTCAGAAACGACGCCGAATCTTCGACAAGTGCTGATTCAATCAACACCGTTGAGTGACAATCTCGCTCGAATTGGAACTTCTTTCATCAACTCGGAACAATCAGGTTCTTTTTATTTATTTATTTATTTATTATCTAATTTTATTCTATTTTAGTATAATTGTCAAAATATCAACCTTATATATATATTTTAAATTAATTTAGTTTTAGTTCTCTACCGAATGGCTAGTAAACTCGTTCTATCAGAACTAGGAAAAATTAACAAATTTAATGGCAGTAATTATGATATGTGGCATAGAAAAATAGGGTATGCTCTTATTCATGACAATATTGATGATATAATTGAAACCACTGCTCCAACCCTTACTGATAAATCTACACTTGAAGAAAAGAAATGGTTTGAACAGTGGAAGTCGAAAGACAAAAAGGCAAAAAGTCTCATGCTCATGTTCATGGAAGATAATTTAATCAAATTTTTTGAAACTTATAAAACTTCCATGGACATGTGGAATGCAATAAAAGAAAAATACGACACTGCTTCTGAAGTTAACATTCAACTACTCTTGCATAAGTATAATTCTTGTCGTATGCAAGAGGGAGACAATGTCGTAGAGCATATAAATAAAATGATTGTCATGGCTAAGGACTTATCCACTGCTGGGACCGAAATCCCGGAAAGAATGCAAGTGGCAACCATTTTGAATAGTCTTCCCCCTTCACTTGCTGTGGCTGCCACCACATTAAGAATGAACCCTGCCATTAAGTCTGTCACTGATCTTCCTATGCACCTAGCGATAGAACAGGACTTAATAGCCAGTAGGAAGGAACCAGAACTGAATATGGTGCAGCAAGAGCTGAATTATGTCCGCCAGAGGCATAATGCTGAAAGCTATAAAAACCCTGGTTCTAGTAAACCACAACCACGAGGACCAAAATCGCAGCAGTTCAAGAGAAAGAAAGTACCCCGCGGAGCCTGCTACAATTATGGAAAGTTTGGGCATTTCAAACCCAATTGCCCACAAGGTAAAAAGCAGGAGAATAATGGAGGCTTTAAGCATACAGAACAAGGGGGTACTAGCAAAAGGGAATTCGTCGGTGTGACGAAATGTAATGCTGTGATGACGGATATCAGTGGTTGGTGGATCGACTCCGGTGCGACTAGGCATATCGCAAAGGACAAGAATGGAGTCGTAGAATTCACCGAGCTGAAGAAAGGAGAACAGAGAATCTATATGGGAAATAATACCTATCTCGATGTAGAAGGTATTGGTTCGTATAGATTGGATCTTAGGGACAGCATTCTTGTCCTCAAAGATGTGTTCTATGCGCCAGGAATTCGGCGCAATCTGATCTCTGTTCCCAGCTTGATGAAGAAAGGACTGGAAGTTAGGTTCTATAATAACAGGGTTTCTATAGGTAAGAATAATAAAGTGTATGCTATGGGTAAATATGTGCCCGAGCATGAATTATGCATTCTTCCAGTAGTTTGTAATAATTCTGATAATAAAATTTTGAATTTGAACTACTTGTCTTGTTATATTTCTGAATCTGAATTGTGGCATTCTAGACTAGGACATGCTAGTATTTCAAAAATGAAAGAAATTATCATAATAAACTTGCTTCCTGCACTATCTAATGTTCAATTGCCACCATGTGAACATTATTTAACTGGTAAAATGACTAGAAAACCTTTTGTTGGCGGATATAGAGCCAATGAACTTTTAGGGTTGATACACTCGGATATTTGTGGTCCCCTAAGTATCAAATCTCATAGTAATAAAGAATATTTTATTACTTTTATAGATGATTATTCCAAGTTTGCACACGTCTAACTTATATCCAGAAAATTAGAAGCTTTTGAGTGCTTTAAGAGATATAAGACAGAAGTTGAAAAAACCAACTTGGATTGAAAATCAAAATTTTGAGAACTGATAGAGGTGGAGAATATAATTCTAAAGAATTTGAAAGTTATTGTATTCAACATGGAATTAAAAGGCATACAACAATGCCGTATACGCCACAACAGAATGGTGTTGCTGAAAGAAAAAACAGAACATTATTAAATGTAGTTAGATGCATGTTGTCTCATTCTGGTCTCTCTAAAAACTTTTGGGGAGAAGCATTGTTAACTGCAAACTATATTTTAAATAGAATTCCTACCAAATCAGTTATATCTACACCTTATGAATTATGGAATGGGAGGAAACCTAATTTGAGTCATCTCAGGAAGTGGGGATCTATAGCCCATGTTCTCATTCCATGTCAACTTAGAGATAAGTTGGATTTTAAAACAATAAAGTGTAGATTCATAGGGTATTCAGAAAAGTCAAAAGGTTATAAGTTCTACAATAAAGAAAAAGGTGTCATTGAAAGCAGAGATGCTACATTTCTAGAGAATCTAGAGGAAGAGGAACAAGTTCAAGAGGAAATAGAACCTCTAACTGTAATAGATGATGATTATTACAGTGTTGTTCCCACTAATGACCCTGATATTGTGAATGAACCTAACCTTAAAAATGATGAAATACCTATGGAAAATAATGTACCTAATCAACCGGTTGTAGGCAACAAAAGGCAATGAACACAACCTTCATGGATGGATGATTACTATTTGTATTCATGTGAGCCATCATGTTTTTCGGTAGATACAAATATAGAAGAACAAGATCCCTTAACCTTTTCTGATGCGATGAAATCGCATGAATCAGCTTCATGGCTAGAATCTATGAGAGAAGAACTTGATTCCATAGAAAAGAATAAGGTATGAGAGTTATGTGATCTACCAGAAAATAGAAAAGCTATAGGATGCAAATGGGTGCTCAAAAAGAAATATCGTGTTGATGGATCTATTGATAAATTCAAAGAACGGTTAGTTGCCAAAGGTTATAACCAGAAGGCAGGAATAGATTTTCAGGAGACATATTCTCCTGTAGCTAAATTTGCATCCATTAGAATTATTTTGACTATTGTTGCATATCTTAATTTAGAGTTATTCCAAATGGATGTTAAAACTATATTCCTTAACTGAGAGTTGAATGAAGCAATATATATGCAACAACCTGAAGGTTTTCAGGTGAAAGAACAGGAACATAAAGTTTACAAATTAATGAAATCTCTATATGGTTTAAAACAGTCTTCTAGAAAATGGTATCTTAAATTTCATGATGCAGTTACTAAACTTGGTTTTATTCAAAATAAATTAGATAATTGTGTATATGTCTTGAAAAGTGGGAGCAAGTTTACTATATTATCCTTATATGTGGATGATATATTGCTCGCTGGAAATAACATAGAAATGTTGAATAAAACCAAGGCAGATCTCAGCGAAAAGTTTGAGATGAAAGACATGGGAGATGCATCATATATTCTTGGAATTCAAATAATTCGAGATAGAAAGTCTAGAATGCTAAGTTTAAACCAAGAAAAATATTTAAGATCAGTTCTTAAAAGGTTTGGAATGGAGAATTCCAATCCGGCACCAACTCCGTTGGTTATGGGAAAGAGATTATGTAAAGAGCAAAGCCCTGGAGAAGGGCAGAAGCCATTAGATGTTCCTTATGCTCAAGCAATTGGAAGCTTGATGTATGCAATGTTGTGCACCAGACCTGATATAGCTTATGCTGTGAGTCTAGTCAGTAGATATCAAAGTAATCCAGGACCAGCACATTGGGAAGCTGTTAAAAGGATTATGAAGTATATCAGAAGTACATTGACTCATAGATTAGTTTATCAAGCTGATTCGCTTGAACTCCTCGGTTATTTCGATGCAGATTTTGGAGGTGATAAAGATGATGGAAAGTCCACTTCGGGACACTTATTTATCTTTGGAGGAGGAGCTGTTTCTTGGAGTAGCAAGAAACAAGGGTGTGTTGCTAGATATACGCAAGAAGCTGAATATATAGCTTGCAGTATGGCAACTACACATGCTGTCTGGATAAGACGGTTTTTGATTGATCTTGATCTCAATTTGTTAGAAGGACCTATTGATATTTATTGTGATAATCAAGCAGCAATTAGCTTAATCAATAGTGGCGCGAATAGCTCCAAAGGAAAACATATTGAGATCCAGTATCACTATATTCGAGATATTGTAGAAAAGGGAGAAGTCAAAGTGACTTATATCCCTACTACAGATATGATTGCTGATCCTTTGACAAAAGGAATACCAGCAGAATCTTTTATCAAACATGTAAGTTTGATGGGACTTAGGAATAAATAAGTCCAAGTAAAATTTCATGAATAATGAAATAAGAATTACTCTCTACGGATAGTGGGAGTAATGGTAAGCAGAAACATCCGATCTCACGGATAGTGGGAGGCATGTCACTTGGTTAATTTGGTCAAGTGGGAGATGTTAGCTTGACTCGGTCATGGTGACCAAATCAACGATTCTCAGTAGAGAGAATTGTGGATCGTGAAAGGGTTGTTGAGAGAAAATCTCTCATTGGGGCGGATCTTGGGGGTGGAGTTAGTGGGTTCAGCCCCTATAAATTTGAGGAGAAATCTCCTTGAGAAATCACAACAAAAGAAATTGATAAACCCTTACCATTAGCCGGAAACCCCTCAGAAATCATGTTCTTCCTTCTTCTTGAGATTAAACACTCCGCCTCCCTCCGACCCCCCTCGTCCCCCAGCTCCACTGCGGACTCTCTCAACGGCCAGCCTCATACCTCCGCGCCGAGGACGTGCACTTCAAGTCTGCGCGCCCTTTGACGCCAGGCAGGACGTGTTCGACGAAAATGCCCCCGCAAGAACGTCCTTCAAAGGGCACCGTTATTGGATGATGTCACCAACAGCTACGCAGGTTACGGGACGGGGGGACTCCCAGGCCCCCCCCCTCCCCCCCCCCCTCCCTTCCTGAAACATGGCAGATACCTTTTATCATCTATAAACATGGTAATAATAGTCTGATTTTTCATGAATAGCCTAATCTTCAATAAAGATGGTATTACAACAGAGTGTACATTTGGTTATTAATTATTGTTGAATAATATTTTTGTTTCAAGTTTTTTAGATTATATATTAAGATCCCAAATGAAATTATGAAACTGATTTTTAATCGTGTATGAATTTAGCGTCTCTGCATTTGTGGGGAACGAAGCACCTATGACTGTCTATGGTGATATAATTGCTATTTATTATGCTCTGTTGGTATGAATTGTGCTATAACTGCTTTATACTTTTGGTTGTAAACTTCTCATGTTTGGGTCCTATGCTGAGGGTACCTCTTGTTCGTAATTGCTTCAGAAAGGAAAATAACACTGATTTATCAAGTAAAAGTTAACTTGACTGCCTGTCTTATGATTTTGGTCAATTTATTTTGTGGAGCTTCTTAATTTTTAGTCATGCTTAATAATCCTCACATTTATTAGTAAAATCTAGTGAACATGATAGTATAGTCTCTGACTTGACAAAGGAATATTATGTGTCATAATATGAATTTATATTGCAGGTCTTGTTAGAATTGCTGAAGACCTATGTCCTTGAACTTTTGAAGGACTGAAGACTGCTGCATATTGCAAACGTGGCTGTCAACATGGTATGTTACTCATGCTTTTCATACTATACTGATTAATACCTTGTTATACTAGGTTACCAGCTACATGTCCTGGAATTAGGGTCTGACAGTCTATATCTTTTCATGATAATTATGCTCTGTAATTCATTGTCATTTCTTTTTAAAAACCTGTTGCGTATTTTGGGGCATAAAAATTATGCATAGGTTTACTGACATTGTTTTCATCCTTTTTGCTATTTCTTAGTCAAGAATCGCCGAAAGCACTTTACAATATTGAAAAAATCTGGAACTCGTAAAATCTAAACATATCTAAGTAAACATTGGTGATAGTGTATTTTTTTTAAAAAGATTTTAACATCTTTAAATTGACATCTATTTCATCTTCTTATTTGGTAAGGGAAATTCCATGATTGCAATGCATGCTTGTGGGCTGGTGTTGGTTGAGGTGTAACCTACAAAGGATTTCCAGAATTGATGAGAAAACAATAGATTTTTCTTTTCCATGCGCCTCCAATCTATCATTTTTGTTAAAATGTAATCTTTTCATTTAAGTAGGATTACTATCATGGTAGCTCTAAACTTCTACTCTTTCGATATGGGATGATACTAATTGAGTTAGTGCGTATTTCTCAGGCTATCCATTACTGAGTGCCGGCGCGCACACACAGACATTGTAGGATATAAGATCTTGAAACCAGGATTGAGTTACTGCATATTTCTCAGGCTATCCATGAATGTTCGTCAATGAAGTTGCCAAAACGTGAAAAGTCTCAAACCATGTATGAGAAATATCATCACATGAGTATCTTTTTTTTTCCTTCCCCTTCTAAAATCAGAAACTAGCATATCTTTTTACGGCAACAAGCCATGTCATTTTAAGGTTATTCATGTCCCCGTCTTCCTTGAGAAGATAAGTTAAAAACTAATTTGGGGATAATCCTAAATTCATAGCGTTGACCAATTTTTTGAAATATGGTTGATTCATAAATTTCTTGTAGATGATGAACCATGTTAATCTTTTTTACCTCCTTAACCAGGGTGTTCCTGTTAATGTCAACCATGGATTCAGTGTTGATTTTGTTTGGAAGAGTACCGGCTTTGATCGGGTGCAAGGAGCAATGAAAACTTTTGCTGTAGATGAAACCAGTGTCAGTGGGTGAGCTTCATTCTATCCTCATGAGTGAGATTCAGATAATGTTTTAATGTGTTGTGGATTCGAATGTTGTTATATGAGATTCAGACAGTGTAATATTCAGATGAATGCATGTACAGATATTGAAAGAAATGACATTTGATCTCTCTCATTTCTTTTGGGTTGATATAGCATATGGTTCTGTACTTGTGTAAGTGATTTGTGTGGGTTGCAGATTGAATATGAATGAATATGATTTTCTTTTTTCTCTTTGTAGTCTCCTGTTATGTTTACATAACTTAAATAGCAAAAAAATGTAAAGATGATGACATAATATTTCAGTTTCATTCTAGAATTTTGTATAATGACAGAATGCACACTTTGTAACTCAATACACAAAGTAGGTTTACAAGCCAAAAAAACACTACAACATGTATCCTAGACGGAAATTCCGTCTAGGATGCTATATCCTAGACGAAAATTCCATCTAGGATACTTTCAATACGGAAGTATCCTAGATGGAATTTTCGTCTAGGATATAGCATCCTAGACGAAAATAAAATTCGCATAGGAACCTTCCTAGACGTATTTTATTTCCGTATAGGATTATCCGTCTAGGATGCATCATAGACGGAAATTCCGTCTAGGATACCGCATTCTAGACGGAAACAAACTCGACTCACATCCTAGACGGAATTCTGTCTAGGATAGGGTTTTTAGACGGAAATGGGAGTATCCTAGACGAAATTTTCCGTCTAGAATGCCTCATTTTGTACTAGTGCATGTACAAGATTGAATGTTAATCGGATATGGTAAAAATTAACATGTTAACATGAAATTTAACATATCATCGTGAAAGGTAACATTAATGTGTGAAAGTTAAAATGTACCCATGAATATTAACATGTAATAGTGAAAGTTTACCTTTAAGTGCGAAAGTTAGTTATTTAGACTGAAATTCAATAAATAGTTTTGAAAGTTAGAAAGAAAAATTAGGACAAATATTTGTTGCTTCTCCTCCTCCTTTTTCATGCTATCTGTAGTTTTACTAGTTAATAAAATCTTGAATTTTCGTTCATTCTATTTTGACAGCTATGGTACTATGAGATGACGAACATTAAAAAACCAGCCCTAAACTTGAGATGGAAACCTCCGTTGACCAATTGGGTAAGGGTCGGAGGGATGACTAGATCTTTGAGGAGAGAGATAATTGTTTCCAAGGCAAAAAAAGCAAGCATTAAACTCGTAGAGAAACCAATTTCTCCCAGCAGCCCATGGTGTGAGAAATACCCTCAAAAGGATCCTAGTGGGAAGAAGAATGATATCTCTCGTCTTGGAAAAAAATAATCCCCTTGTGTCCAATAGGAGCAAAGCTATGGAGCAATCATTGTTAAGGAAGAAGGAGAAGAAAGAAGATGTTAAGAATGAGAAGCAAGAGAAGGTGAAGGGCAAACCAAAGAGTTCATCCGTAAGCTATGTAAGCATCAATACTCTTTACACATTCTTGCATATTAACATTGATTAAAATTTTGTAACTTTTTTATTATTACACTTAAATTTGCATTGTGTCATGTTAACTTTCTTTGGACAAGATAATTACATTGTTTCATGTTGAGTTAGTGTTAAATATAAATGTTCAGCAAAACATGTGAATAAATAACATAGCATGATAACTTTTACTGTTATATGTTATCTTTCATGCTTACATGTTATATGTTATTCTTACATGTTAATTTAAGTTGTGTACATGTTAATTTTCAGATTAACGTGTTAACTTTCATTCTTACATGTTAACATTTCAAATTTTATGGATTTCCATAACTATTATCCTTAATTTTATGGATTTACGTGGGTAATGGGTATATGGTTGTTTTTTTAGATTTTCTCCCAGCCTATCAGTGATGCTCTTGAAAGAGAAGATGAGATAGAGAAGTTTCCAAGTGAAGAGCAAATTCAATTTTGAAGGAATATAGCCAAACTAAATTGGAAATTGATCCATATGGTCAAGCGTAGCAAGCGCCTTCAATGGAATGATTGCTCTAAGGAGATACAACAGCTTAACAGGAAATTAGAGATCTATGAAGGAACTGCTGATCTGATTGACCCCCGAAGACCTAAAGAAGAATGTGAAGGCTATTATGTCCTAGAATGATAGGCCTACAAAGGCTGCATAGAAGAAGAGGAAAAATTGTATTGATTCTATTGATAAGGGTGACAATCACTGCTAAAAAATAAGGTATCCTAGACGGAAAATTCCGTCTAGGATACTCAGAATTCCGTTTAGGATGTGTATTCTAGACGGAATTTCGTCTAGAATATGCGTCTAGGATGTTTCCGTCTAGGATGTAGTATTCTAGACGAAAATTCCGTCTAGAATACATCTTAGACGGAATATTCTAGACGGAATTCAAAACTATCTAGAATACATCCTAGACGGGTTATTCTAGACGGAATTCCCGTCTAGAATACTACATCCTAGACAAAAAAAAATTCGTCTAGAATGACTATTCTAGACGAAAATTTCCGTCTAGAATACTCATTCTAGACGGAAATTGATTTTTTAATTTTTTTAATTTTTTTCAAAAAAAGTCATCCTAGACGGAATTTCAGCATCTTAGACGGAATTTCCGTCTAGGATACTATGCTACAGTTTTTTTTTTGCAAAATCTACTTTTGGTGCATGTACACAATATTGAACAACAAAAAAATATATTTATATCCAACACAATCTAATTATATTCCAATATCAAATCCCATTATATTCAAATAATACATTCACCAAAACAGTAGAGAGATATATAAATTATTTACAAACTTTTACATAAATTATTTACAATGGCTATGACACTGCAGAAGCTTCTTCAACTCCTTCCCTATACATTTCTTTGACAAAATTAAAACCTCCTGGTCCAATAACAGATCCAGCTAGCAAATGAAAAAGAATAATCCTGTCGGGGATCTGTGCAATTAACCCTAAAATTAGGTAATAAGAATAACACCACACGAAAGAATCATGCCTGTGAAAGCCTGAAACTCCTTGCTGAACTTTCCGTTTCGTTTCACACACTCCATTATTTCTTGCCTATATCAAGGGGAATATATTTTCCATAAGTAACCAAAAGACATAATTGGGTATGCATATGGGTGCAATATAGTTGTAAGCTTGTATGCTTAAAGTATAGAACACCTTGAAACCTCTACTAACACTGCTAGCTCACAAAATTCATTGCTGGAGGGAAAACCCTGAGGAATGCAGAGTTCAAGCAAAATGTATCAAGAGATTTTAGTACTATATGAAGACCTGAGGAATGCTTGGAGATGAAAAATATTGGATGCAGAGTTCAAGCAACATGTATCAAGAGGACGATGTTGATGGGGTACAAAAGGGTCAACGTATGGACTCTTGGGTCAATAATTTTTGCACCTATGCTTGGCAACAAAAATATGAACTTGATAATAATCTGTTCAGACGATTCTATCTTCAAAGTGAGTGACATAATTTCTAAAATCAACTCACAATGGGTTAACTTGTCTAACTATTATTAATCAAACAATTACAAATAATTATGAAATCGATTCAACTTTACAGCTAAATAACCATCAACGAACATTCACATAAGCAGTTAGTTGCGATATTATATTTATCTACCAGTTACCAAATTTGAGCTGGCAGAACAAAGATGTAGGCGAATGTTCGTGAAACCAAATCCAACAAATAAATGCTAGCTTCAGAAAAGAAACACCACTGGCTCACTACCGGGTCCAATTTTTCCAATTTCAGTAACATTTATGCCAGAATTATCTAGGAGAAAGAACCTATAATGAGCATTTCACAAGTGTTTATTAATTCTTTGAAGATGAAAATTCAGAACTGTGTTCATTTGAATATAAAACTCTAGTAGCACAAAAGCATTCAGATGCACGACCAGATAGAAAGATTGAAACAGAAACAAATGATATCAAATTGAAGATGTAACCCTTTACCAGCAATATCTTCCACCTCCTCAGTTTTAACAATATGTACTCCACCCTTAAGTCTGCTTTTGAAGGTTCCCAAACCTCTACCACCAGCAAGAATTTGGCTATTGACAACAATCTGGAGTGGAGCAAGATAATAAAAATATGATATTGTAAGGTTTCCAACTTATTACATTTCATCTGTGTTTGGTATGAACTTGGAGAATGAAAATTTTCTTTAATATGCAATATCACACAAGGTATAAAATCTTAACATCCAAGGGTACATCCTTGTACATTCACAATATTTAGACAAATGCCTTCTTATCACAAAAGGGTCAACGTATGGACTCTTGGGTCAATAATTTTTGCACCTATGCTTGGCAACGAAAATATGAACCTGATAATAATCTGTTCTGAGGATTCTTTCTTCAAAGTGAGTGACATAATTTCTAAAATTAACTCACAATGTGTAAGGACCATGAATTTTGATACTAGTTAAAATAGTTTTCTGATATTTTAAAATATTTAATTATTATTTTTAAAAGAGTATTTGTATTTTTTTGAATTTTTACAATTTTCTATGATTTAAAGTCTAAGTTTTATATTTATTTAAATGATATTAATATTTATAAATTAATTTTATGTGGTGAAAATTTATGGAATTTATCTGTTACGTTATCGATGCTATTACATGTTATTTTAAATAATACGTTGTATTATTTTTATTATTACGTATATTTTCGTATAATACGTTGTACTATTAATTACTTATTATTTGTATAATTTGTTGTATTATTTCTACTGCTACATATTATCCGTCGTATTAGTATAACTTGTACGTTTTACTGTGTATATAATTATCTCATAATTGTTTGATTTTAAATATAAGTAAATATATTTTATTTATTAATTATTCTCGTTTAATTATACAATATGGATATATTTTGATTATTTCGTATCAATTGTTGTATTAGCACAACATGTATGTTTTTAATTGTAGATAATTATTTCGTAATTAGTTTAATTTTTTAAATACCATAATTATTTATTTTAATTATTTGTGTGTTAAATACCTAAACCCTAACTCTAATTATATATATATATATATATATATATATACCTATATATATATATATCTCCTCTCTTATATATATATATATATATATTAATACTAACTCTCTCTCCTCTCTCTCTCTCATTCAATTT